TGCTATGTAGAAACATGGGATCTTGAACATTCCAAAAGAGCGATAGCATAAAAATCAAAGTCGGAAGCTTGCTTGCCACAACTTATGCAGTTTAGCCCAAAAACAAAAGCATGTTTAATCTACCATGTGAAAGGCAAGTAAAGACTACTGGAAGCATGGAACGCAGTGGCTCCAAAGACGTTTTCTAATAATTGCCTAATTCTCAGGTAACTTAATGAATATAACCTACCATCTTTGAAGACACGTTCCACATTTAATCCATAGGTTGCACATGTTTCATAATAGGCGCAACGTTTCAAGTGATTTGCCATCTGCTTGCCCTCTTCTTCGCTAATTACGCGAGGATTCTTCTCGGACAAAGTATCCTATAATGCATAGCATTAGACTGAAATGACTAAAAAGTAGAGAAACTACTTATGGAAATCTATCAACTGATAGAAAATTGAAAAATTGCAAGGAAAAAAGAGAAAAAGGTGAAGAGTTTCAGATTTTAAATATGAAAATGCAATAGAGATTAAATATGGAAGATCAGGGAACCATACCTTTGTACCAACCAGCAAGACAGGCATATCGGCAACGTTTCGAAATTTGTTCATATGACTATAGAAGTGTCGAACTCTTTCAAAGCTTTCCTGGTTGTCAACACTGTACACGAAAATCACTGCATCAGCCCACAACGAAAACTAAAATTCTTGTTTAACGGCAATACAGTTTTTGTGCAAAAAAAAGAATAGCGCAACATCCAGATATAAAATTTGAGGCCTATCATGGGCCCTCTTCTATAAAATGAGATGTTAAATTTCATTTAACTGTTTCCCTCTCGGAACATATACTTCAACGGAGACTGTTTTGATAACGTAGCATAGAAAAGAGAATGGACATCTACAACAAAATAAAAAGAATGCCGCGCCAGTTGATTTACACTGAAAGAAGCGAAGTCTGGCGCGATATGAGGTGAGCTAGCGGGATACATTAGTGTCACTAGAGTTCAACAGTAGACAGCAGGTTGCAGCTCAAATCGCCATACGGCCACAGTTCACCTCTTATCATCTTACAACAAGCAAAAGGATGATTGGTCAGAAAGTAGAACAAATGCGTACAAACCCGCTTCTGACACTACAAACAAATTATGAAAGGATAGCATCATTTCTGCACTTCTCCATTCATAAGTTAACTCTTTGAGAATCTGCATAGAACTGAGGTTTAAGCCGATCCAATCACATTACACGGGCTAACCTGAACATCCGGTGACGCACTGCCTTCGTCTCGAATTAGCAGCAGGTGACTAAGGCCGTCAATAAACACTTCCTTCTTGAATCGACCACCTGAAACATTTGACAAAAATGGAAGCCATGGCAATTTAGAGATT